GGCCACGGCGCACAAGGCGGGCCCGCCGGGCGCGGGGGCGGCGGCGGCGGCGGGGGCGGGGGCGGCGGCGGCGGGCGACGAGCGCGTGGTGGTGGTGCCCGAGCAGTTCGTGCGCAGCGCGTCGCCGCAGTACCTGCGCTCGCAGCTGCTGTGCGCGCACGCGGCGCTGCAGGAGCTGGCGGCCGAGCTGCGCGCCGCCGAGGCGCGGCTGGCGCTGTACGAGCCCCGCGCGCCCTGACCAATAAAGCCTTGCCGCTCGCCGCGCCTTTCATTGCCCCTGCCCTAGCAGTCCCGGCGCTGCGCCCGCGCCTGCAGCACGTCGCGGAACTGCGCCAGGATGGCGTTCTCGCGCTTCTGGCGCTCCTCCTTGGAGAAGGCGGCCAGCGCGCGCTTCTCGTCGGCCGAGTAGATCTGGTTCTCCTTGCGGATGCGCACGGCCTCCATGCGGCGGTGGCGCGAGCCGCTCATGACGTAGCCCACGGCCTCGTAGGACGCGATCTCGTCGGACGTGAGGCCGATCTCGCCGCGGCGCGGGATGCGCTTGCCCTCGGCCACGAAGGCGGCCATGGCGGCGCCCTCGCCCGGCAGCAGCGCGCGCCCGAAGTCCTTGTGGCCCAGCGCCGGCCCCGTGCGCGGCAGCGGGCCGGGCGCCGCCTCCGCCGGCTCCTCCGGCTTCGCCGCCCGCGAGTCCCCAGGCGCCTCGTGCTCCTCTGCGGAACGCGTCCGTTGACGATCGATACGTTTCTGTTTGAGGTTATTTCTATTCGGAACGCGGACGAACTACTCACTTCCTTTTTCGACCCACACCTCCTCTTCCTCGCCGCTCGAACTGCGCGCCTTCCTCTTGGCCTTTTTACGTTCTTTCTTAATTTTCTTCAACTTTTTTTTTAATTTCTTCAGCTTCTGCCTGGTGTCGTCTTTGCCTTTGGACTTCTTACGTTTCTTTTTATCCCTTCCTTTGTCCGAGTGTTTGACATGCGATTGCTCCTCATCTGAACTGCTGCTGAAACAAGTATTTGATGCATTTAGACGCGTGAAACGCTTACGATATAATAAAAAAATTCTAACATCCTGTTCCGAAATCAGGGATAGATGGCACGTTTCTCAAAAAATAATTTGTTTCCGAGTTACCAGTGCAATAGTCTGTCGTGTAGGTTTTTTGTTATGGCTTAGCTCGGTGCCTTTTAACCATACCAGTATAAAAAAATAATTTCCTCTGAACATTCATCACGGCACTATTCAGCTTCTAATTGTGACGGTGTGACCTCCTTACACCGTCAACTCACCTCTTTGTATCGCCTCTCTCCGCTCGTATCCTATCATTTTTTTTATTTTACATACATTTAAATTTCAATTGTTCCATCTTCCTTCACTTTCTCATTTTATTTTCGTACCACGGTCACTCCCAGCTCGACCGCCACAACAGTCGGAACTGTTCCAAATTCCATTTACTAAAATCTTATTTTTGATTCTTTACCAAGTTATAATACAAAACATAATACAACAGTCTGAGCAAAAGAATTATCAAAAATCTCCTGCAATAGTTTTTCGACCAAAAAGAAGCCATAAACCCGGATGTAATGGTGCCGCCATTGAAACTTTGGCTATCACACGAATATAAAGATTTGTACAGACGCTTTCTGGCGCTTTTCATATTAACTCTGTTTATGGCTTCTGTATGTTTATTTTGATACAATGATACACCAAATACATTTTATTTAATTACGTAGCACATAACCTTCAAAACTTCAAACTGGAATATTTTTAATTCCAGACTTCTCAGAATAGTATACCCTAAAACAAAATTTGTTATGGAATTTCAAACTCTATATTTTTCATAAATAAATAAACTAAAATCGTATTTATTTGACATGCCAAATACTTTATAAAATACAAACAATTATAAAATATCAAATAATTCATACATAAATAATTTAAAAAAAGAATAATCGAAAAAATAGGAAAATCTAATAATAATAATAGAAAAAAAGAAAAATTAAAACAATTAGGGAAACAAAAAAAATGTCAAAAAGGCCCATTTTTTGACATTTTTTTTGCTCAGCATTTGAGGATTATGCTAATTACATAGCCCTCGCTGATACTCTGCCATGGCCAGTCATAAAAATAGAACACCACAATTTAAAAAAAATTAAATTAAATTCAAATACTAAACACAACTGCCTCCGTGGCCGAACGGTTACCATACCGGACTGCCACGCAGAGGTCCCCGGGTTCGATTCCCGGGCCGGGAGAAATATTTGTATGGCCTACATTTATTTCTCTCGTGAGTTTGGGTGTAATTTGTGGTTGTCTATGTGTGTGTCCATGGCACCCGCGACACAGGGTTTCCCTAGTGTGGGGCTATGTTGAGTGTGTGCGTTATTATTATTATTATTATTACAATCAGACAGTAAATAGATTAAATTAAATTTGACACACAACATGAAAATATTTTTTCATCAACTTGAATAGTAAATTTAAATTGCACAATACCAAATACATACAAACAGCTATTGCGCAAAGCCTATGTCCCGAGATTGCCTCTCAAACAGTCACAGAAAACATTTTCGTTTGAACGTTGGTAGTGCTTGATACGCAGCCGTCCGTACAGGCGGAGGTAGATTATTCCAAATTTTAGATGCCGAATGTTTAAAGCAACCCCGGGTAACAGACAAAGATATTTTCGGCATTCTGAGCAGGAGACCTCTATTGCGCAATCTCTCGTCATGACCTTTTAAACAGACGCCTTTTTTTTCTTTTTTTTTTTAATATATAATAGACACACGCTTGGCCACAATCTCACCTGATGTTAAACGACGATGTGACCGACGATGGGACGCGTTTGCCTAAAAAATGCCTATTCACTCTAGCCTTGAATAGCCCCAAATTGTACTTTTCGGGAAATACATATGCCGGTAGAGCATTCCATTCCTTTGCCGTACGCATCAGAAAGGAGGAGGCAAAGCGCTTAGTGCGAATAGGTGGAATATCAACGACATAAGAATGGAGTGCTCCGGACCTTCTAGTCGACCAAAGGAGGAACGGTGAGGGCGGAACCAAATTGAAAAGTTCCTGCGCACACTCCCCGAAATGTATCCGATAGAAAACCGACAAGCAGGCTACTTTTCTGCGATGATCGAGATTTTGGAGCTTCGACTCCACAAGAGGATTATTGTTAATAAGTCTCTTTGCTTTACGCTCCACCGAGTCCAAGGCAGCTAACTGGTATTGGGCAGAGCCGTCCCAAAGGTGGCAGCAGTACTCCATACAGGATCGAACTTGTGCTTTATACAGATTTAAAAGCTGTTCAGGTGTGAAGTACCGCCTGACCTTGAAAAGTATGCCTAGTTTTCTGGCAGCAGTTTTTGCCAAGCACTCGATGTATCGCCCAAAGTTGAGGTTGGATGATAAGTCCAGACCAAGTAGCTCAAGGTGGTCCCTTATCGGCACGGATACACCTCGGAAAGTCGGAGTAAGGTGTAGGGGACTCCGTTTTGATGAGAAAAGACACGCCTGTGTTTTAGCCGCATTAAACCTGACCCTGTTAGCATCTCCCCAGTCGGAAGCAGCTTTCAGACTCAGGTTCAACCGGGTGACCATCGCCTCCGAAGTTTGTGAACAAAAGTTTATATGGGAGTTTGCCATTGTTCTTTAGCTTTATATCTCAGAAACTAACCACTATAATTAACCATTATAGATCGATAGGAATTTACTTTAGAATACTAATGGGGTAAAATTTTTTTGGAATAATAAGTTTTATCTACACACATATTATAAACCCTCTATGATGTGCTCAATTAGCGCAAATTACGGCCAGCAGAAAGATCTCAACGACTAAAGATGTTTTGTTAGAACAAATTTCTTATCTGTGAAAAATGTTATTTTTGCTTAATAATAACATTAAATTCAGTTTTATTATTACATTCAAACGAACATCCGTGAAAAAGACAACAATTTTATTCGACCTCAATTATATTCTAATATCAGTCGAGATCATTGACCTACCAACAAATGGACGTCGGGTCTAATACAAAAACCACGAAAATAATGTAAGTTAACCTATACAGACGTAGTGACATGTAACGAAATATAAAAAAACTAAAACATTTAATTTAAATTGTAACGTTATTGCGGTAGTGCCTAATTTTGCTTGCAACAATTTAATGGCCCAAAAATACCATATTCAGCTTCTACTGGAAATTTAACAAAATGCACCATATTTAGCTTCGACTCAAAATTACTTGAACACAAGAGTAATGGAGTAGCCTTTATCGTAAATATTAACTAATTTTTATATATATTATTATGTCGAATTTTGTACAAATTCACTTAAAGAAATAATAAAGAGTTGGGCATCTGCCCAACTCTTCATTTCTTTCAACATACATACAAATATTACTACAAATATGAAAATAAGCGTGTACTATAAGAAATATACCGATATTCCAACTAAACGTAAACTCAAATATCCGTAATTCCGAAAACCGATTTATAATAAAACCGTTACGCTTTCGTGTAATTTTAATGCTTTTCACAAAGACGAAATTAGTTTTTATTTTGTAATATTCCTAAAAAAATACATTTGACATTATGAAAATTCGAGCTAACGTCATTTCGGGTAAATGTTTTTTCTGACTTCTAATAGGTAATCCCAAGCCGTAAAACGAGTACAACAATATTTTGTTAGTTATTGCTAACGTTTAATTAAAAATCATTTTAAAAATAAGATCAAAGCGACTCTATAGTTTCTTTGTTCTAAATATTTCAATCGCTTGTGGTTCGAACAATTGAAAACGACCAAGAAGTTTATATATAAGCTTCTTGAAATTGACACAATGGGTCTCTTTCCATCTTTTGCGCATGCAATGTTCTACACATTGCAAAGGACAGTTAGCTATTGGATTATTTTGTGTGCTTTTGTAATTTATATTTACGACTCATTTATATATAAATTAAATACTATAAAACTGTACAAAATAACATTTTTAACTATGATAACACAATATATTTGTTTAGTGAAAATATGATACAAAACCCTGTTTTTACAATTTACTGCAGTAATTTTTACAAGTTATTATTATATAGTACTGCATGATTGACAATCGCGCTGACAGTCGAACAAACGAAGACTGTTGCGCGATTGACGCTCAGTATGTGATTTTAACGCCTTATATATACGGACACTTTCAAGCGCGAACCCGATGTTCATTTATTGGTAGGTCAGTGGTCGAGATGTTTTATTCCAAATGGAATTTTGACAAATTTCACACGTTACTTCATACGCACAGACATATTATCTAGATAGACGCCGCAAGTTAGCGATGCGCGACTTTAAATGATACTAATACTAATCATTCGAATAAGTCGAATCTAAGCACAATCATTCGACTCGAATTGAATGTCTTATAGTCGTTTGGGTGCACAAGTCGAATGATTATTATATCGGAACACCTAATTCATCATGTCCATACCACAAAATATCCCTGTCCCCGTCACATTTACAGTGTTTACCATATGTCAGAGAGGGCTAGATGATCACGAGCAGAAATGCTCTATGGATTAATACTACTAATTAGTAATGAATGATCATTCGAATACGAAAATTAGTAGGTTACTAATTTGACATTCGAATGGCAGGATTAGCGATTACTAACGAGTTGAATATTGAAATCATTCACAATCGCGCATCTCTACCACAAGTACAGCAATTTGTATGTATCCACCGTGACGTCACAAGAACTATTTAGCGATGGGAAACCTTCCGCGCTTAATAATAATTAAATTAAGTATTTTTTTTTGTAATGTCTTATCGATTGACTTAAATAATGAACACGCACGTCAATATATTATGAACTGAATTAATTTACTAGATGGTTTTCCGTCGGTGATTGATCAAATTGGTGAATGGCAAGACAACAGAAAACGTTACTGCTGACAAAATATCTAAAATCTTACTAAAGTAACTTAAGGTTTACTTTAGGTTAACTTAAGGTTTTACTTTTTAGTAACTTAAAGTTTAAACTTAAGGTTTATGTCGGCCTCGTGTAAAGTTTTATGATTTGATCATGATTTCTCGGATTTCTAACGCTGCTACTCTGCATAT